AAGTGCCCAATATTTTTTTTCGTGTAACGATTCAAAAAATACTTGGAAAAAAACGACAACTTTTGGCAGTCGATGGATCCCGAGAAGGAAAGAAGGAAAGGAAAATGCTTGCTAAGCCCAGAGGAAGTTGCGTTGTTGTTGAGAGCATTGGATTTTGGGCCTGAGGCCCATATATACGTGGCGTCGGGCCAGATTTATGGAGGGCAAAAGGCTTTGGCGCCTCTAAAAGCTCTCTTCCCGCACCTCCACACTAAAGAGACGCTCGCTAGCAATCAAGAATTGTCGCGATTTTCGTCACATTCGTCACGTATGGCCGCGTTAGATTTCATCGTTAGTGATGAAAGCGATGTACTCGTGACGAATAATAACGGGAACATGGCGAAGATACTTGCCGGAAGAAGGTATTTTTAATTTTTTAGTTAATTTATATTCGATGTTATAAATTGATCGATCCGTGTTTTAGATGATGCTAATTATATATATGTATTTTATTTTTGCAGAAGATACTTTGGTCACAAACCGACAATCCGCCCGAACACGAGAAAACTAAACGAGTTGTTTGTTAACCGGAAAAACATGACTTGGGACGAGTTCTCTTCACGTGTTCGAACGAACCAAATTGGTTTCATGGGAGATCCAAGTGAGGTGAATCGGGTCACGGATAGCTTTCACGAAAACCCGTTTTCCTGCATATGTCGAAATTCCGAACCATTTTCAGCTAATCAAATTAGAAGCACTTCCTTAAGAAATCAAGTGATCCCGCCGGAATACGACCAAGATTCGTCGGAAATGGAATATTCCGACGAAGATTGATGCAAGTTATTACCGAGTAAATGTAGTTTGTGCATATGGATTTTGACCTTTTTTTCAAGTTGCAGTTTTTGGGCCTAATGGTGAGGCTGCAAACTCTCCTTAACCATTTGAAGTCTTTACACTCATTCGAATTTCGTAACAAACTATATATAGAGAAATGTAGCGACTTGGTGTGCGGTACTGATTTGAATATTTTTCGGGTTTTTTTATGGCAAATTTATAATCTGACTTATAAATTATAATCCTTTCAGATGAAGATTTTGTTGTCTGGTAGCTGATGAAAGTCTTGAGCAACTCAGGCTCAGACATACAATGGTTAGTCTTTAATGACAAAAAATTTGAATTTTTCAGGAGTTAAAAGCAGAGATATGTACATATGATATCTGAATGAAAAAGTAAAATGGATGCTAACTTGTTCAGTTTATAATAGTGAGATAATGAAATTGTAATGAAATTGATATATGTGGTCAGTGAAAACCTATGTAAAGAAAATGTACATTGGATTTATTATTATTATTGTTATGAAAACCCATGTAAAGAAAATGTACATTGGATTTATTACTATTATTATTATTATTTTATTATTATTATTATTATTATTATTTATTTTGTTTATTTGATGAAAGGGTTGAAGTAAAAAGGAGTTCACACCTTTACCATATACTTGTTGGAAAAGTGAAATGTTTAAACTTTAAAAGTTAAATACGATGGGCTGGGCAGAGTCATTTGGGTGTGATGCAATTTGCTGCAGGGCCGGGCCCAATGGGCACTTTATCAAGGTTCATCATGAACATGAGCTCATGGCTTAATTAACTCAAATACTTTGTATATTTTTTTTAATAAAACATAATAACAATAACAATAGCCCTTTATTTGATAATTAGCATTTTGGTGTTAAATTAGAGGTTTGAAGGTGAATTAGACATTTCATTAGAACCTCAATTTTTTTTTTTTTCATTTGATAAATCTCGATTTGAAATAGCTTTTTAGATCTAAACAGTTTACTTTGAAAAATCTCATTATAAGAGCCTTTCGAAATAGCTAATTGCAGTATTAATTATTGGTAACATCAAATAGCTACTTATTTGGTGAATACATATGCATAATTAGCTATTTCAATCAACTAGTGAATATGCTAATTTAATCAAATTAACAACCAACTATTTAACATCCTCGCCAACAAGTGTCAAACATGATTTCTATGTGTGAAAATTATAACAGAAAACATATATAGTAATATAAAGAGGTTGTTGGAAAAATACAAAAATAGTAACTTTGACTTTAAAAATAAAGTGTTGACTTACTATTAGTAGAAATTTTGAAAAAAAACAAATGTGAATCTTTAGAAATCAAATTTAAGGGAGATATCCCAAAAAATGTGGAGATTCTTAAGGTAACAAATTTGGAGATTCATATGCCACAATTTAATTTATTTCATAAATACGAATCTCATTTTTATTGGTAACAAAATTGGAGATTCTTATGCCAAAAAATTGAAATTTTGAATTGAGATATCACAACAATTACGAAATATTTTTCCATTCAAATTAATGTATCAAATCAAACAAAAAATTGTTCCGAGAATAATGGATGTTGTATTAAATATTGATAAACTCCAATCTATATATATATAAAGAGGTTGTTGGAAAAATACATTAATAGAAAGTTTGACCAAATAAATATAATGTTTGACTTACTATTAATAGATAGTTCGAAAAAACACATGTAAATCTTTAGAAACAAAATCTGAATCCTATTTTTTCTGTAACAAATTTAGAGATTCTTATGGCAAAATTTGAATCCCATTTTTTTTAGTATCATATTTTATTTTTTTATCAAAATTTAAATCATATCTTTTTCGGTAACAAATTAAGAGATTCTTATGCAAAAAATGTGTCAATTATTTATGAAAACAATTCTAAATACAAATCAATTTAAAAACCGTGCAAATTGGATACAAATTTACGAAACAAATAGTTGTATAATTTCTAACCAATTCTTCCAATCTTAATGAATACTTTTTTCTTTCAAAAAAAGTATGTAAATTGGTTAAAACCATGTGTAATTTTTATTTTAAAATAAAACTGATATTTGGACGGGATGTACATTCAAAATTGTGCCCATATTTTTTGGTAACAAAAGCAGTTCATCTTTTAAAATAATTAATTGCACACCATATTTAGAAAGTTTTAGATATTTTAAATCATAAAATAGGGTAGCATTAAATGCCCCTAAAATTATGGATTTTGTTGAATTCATTTTTGAAGTGAATATGAAATTCAAAATCTCTTCTCATTTTAGTTACAAGAAAATCGGACTGCATTCAACACTTGACCAATTAAAAAATTATTCCTTAAATGAAAGAATTTATAGATAATTGTTATCTCTACTCAATCACATGATTATTTTCAATATAAAAAGAGACAAATTACAAATTAGTGAATCATATATTACCTAATTCAATATCTTAACATTATGGAATAAATCCATAGTATTATGTAAATCCGTATCTCATATTCTTATATCATTAAGAATATATTATAGTTATATTATCAAACCTTTTAAAGATATTAAATCCATATTGTAAAAAAAATAATTCATATAATTTTATAACAATTCTACTACACTATTTAACAATATTCATTTTTATTATATAATAAAATAATAATTAAATATTATATACCTAACAACAATAAATAAAATTGTTACTTTCTCTTATATCAAGGGATAAATTTATATGCTAAAATTAAATTTTTATTAATATAAAAATTTTAGCGAGATAATATATTAATTACAAGCTAACCTTAACATGCTCATATTTAATGTTCTGGCTAAAAAAAACAACGCTGGTTAAAAGATGTGGAAAAAAACTTATAATAACCCTATTGTTTTTTAGACTTAACGTTGATCATGAAAAGATGTAGAAAATAGATAATAACCCTATTATTTTTTAGACTTAAACGGACAAGGGTGTGAAAATAACTCATTTAATATCTTTGTCCCGTGCATCGCACGGGGTATATACTAGTCCTCTATAAATTATTTATATTTATGAATTTTGTGTGTAAATATATTGATTTTTTTTCCTAAATAATACTAAATTACATTATTTTAGGACCTAAATCCTAACATCTTTTCTATTTTTTGGTGGTTTATATTCTTTAATTGAAATGATATTTGACTTATTTGATTAAAAAAACTTATTTTCTATAGGAAATAAATTTAAGTGAGATATCCCAAAAAAATTTGAGATTCTTAAGGTAACAAATTTGGAGATTTTTATGCCAAAATTTAATTCATTTCATAAATACGAATCTCATTTTTATAGGTAACAAATTTGGAGATTTTTATGGAAAAAATTAAAATTTTGAATTGAGATATCCCTACAATTATGAATTTTTTTTCCATTCAAATTAATGTTGCAAATCAAACAACAAATTGTTCCGAGAATAATGGATATTATACTAAATATTGATAAACTCCAATCCTCCATAAATTATTTATATTTATGAATTTTGTGTGTAAATATATTGATTTGGTTTTCTTAGATAATAATAAATCACATTATTTTATGACCTAAATCCTAACATCTTCTCTATTTTTTGGTGGTTTATATTCTTTAATCGAAATAATATATGAATTATTTGATTGAAACAACTTATTTTCTTTAGGAATCAAATTTAATGAGATATCCCATAAAAATTGGAGATTCTTAAGGTAACAAATTTGGAGATTCTTATGTCAAACTAATTCATTTCATCAATACGAATCTCATTTTTATTGGTAATAAATTTGGAGATTCTTATGCCAAAAAATTGAGATTTTGAATCAAGATATTCCCACAA